ATATAAGGAAACTGCATGTAAAGCAAAATTATTCAAGGCACCCATTGTATGTTAATCATTGTACGTCCCCTCAGCTCTTCGGTTGGGTATTAAGAAAAGAAATTCCTATACTGCTTTTGTATTACTTGTATAGTGAAAGATTTGAAAAAAATAGCTTCATATGAAAAGTTTTTCTCCGATGAACGAATACAGCTGAAACATGTTTCTGTCTTCAAGTATATCCACAAAACATGAAATAGTATTGTACTCTTTTGTATTCTATTGCATTTTTATATTACTTCATGGTATATTTTTTTAATTCTTAAATTTCTCTCTCTCTTTTCTTATAATACACAAGTACTCTTTCAAATATGGTGACCTATGAACCTAAATTTTTATACTATAAAATTTTATATAAAAATTAGCCGTAATCATTAGACACAGCTTTGTGTATATTATATTCTTGAATACATGCCTGCAATTAATACTAAGAATACTATTGATAAAATTCGTGATATAATTAATAATGAAATAAATTGATAAAATTCGTGATATAATTAATAATAAAAAATATGAACGTGATATAACTAATAATGAAAATGATTAAAATAATTAATAATAAAAACCGATTTGAATCTTTTTTTCAATTATAGGGTAACATAAGCCAAACAATTTTCGTTAGAAATATACAATTATGCTAACTTGACACATCAGATAGGAAAATATTTTATCGTCATCATCGGCTATGATAAAAGATTTATACGCTTAATATTTTGGATTATGATAAAGCACACAGGACCTATTTGTCTAAGGGAAAGGAAAGTCTTCGGGGTAGATTTTTTTTTTTTTTTTTTTTTTTTTTTTTTTTTTTGTGGGAAACAAACTGTTAATTCACAATCAATTGTACTTATGAAAAACCCCTAAGCCTCCCATGCAGCCGCTAGAATTTACCGGTGCTCAGCTATCTTACCGCTTGGTGACTAGTTGGCTTTCTGAACTTACGCAATATCTATCTGAATTTGAATATTTACATAAAAAACGAGCAAAATAAAATGACACATTGTAAATAGTACATTTTACTGAAATCAAACTTTCTTTAAAAAAAGGAAAATTTATTGTAAGGAATAAGATGGATGCATTTAATTAAACGGCGCGCAATAACAGCGCTGATCATATGTTTCGTATAGGAAATCATTTTCTTCCTGTTATCGTATAACGGAAAATATCCACAGATTGTATTTTACAGTTTTTAAGAAGTGATGGGTTATCTGCTTTAAGAGAACACCTTCCTGGGCAATTTTCTAAATAAAATTAGCTTGAATTCACGTTACGCATCAAGAAAATCATAAAGACCACAAGCAGCTAAACTGTTCGGTTGCCAACAACAAACTACCAACATCCAGCAATCTTATTCACTCAACTATAGTGAACTTAAGCTAATGTTTGTATATTATTAGTAGTATTAAAATAACGAAAATATTTATTCTAATAAAAATTTTTGTTTGAATATCCTCCCTAGTAAGGTATTTCCTTTGGTTGGAGATTTCATGTCAATAATTAATGCTATGTTCAAACAAGACATGTATTTAGAGCATAATGCTTCAAAAATGTATGCTAGGATACCTAGAAAAAAAAATATTCGCCGGAAAATATATCTCCGAAAAAATATTTAATTATTCATATTCTTATGAATTAATAACTGTTATAATTATTAAATGCAATGCTTATTTTTAGTTTGCAAAATGTACAGCAACGCTCCTTCTTTACAAAAATACGATACTGAATAAATTATATTGTAAGCTAATGAGTAACAACATTGCTTTGTTTAATTGAGATACAATAACAAGCCGAACAAACATTAAGTTTGGAAGTCAAACAACAAAAATCAGGCGTTATATTTTCAAATTTTCACAATCCAATTTTCATTATATCTTATCTCGTTCATTTGCGCTTTTGCAGCTGAAGATGATCGTTCGGTAAAACCATCGAAACTAGTCCTGTGAAAATTTGAAAATATAACGCTGATTTTTATTCTTTGACTTCCAAATTAATTGCTTTGTTTGTTATTAATATGTCTCATCTTTCCTATTTCAGATAAAATTTACTAGTGTTTCTTGGACAGGAAAGCAAGAATTTTTATTTTGAATCAATAATTTTATGATACACTGAAAACGGTTTCAAGTTGTAATTCCCTTTCTGAATATCTTGAATGTATATGAAAAAGTAAAATGCAAATTTAATATTAATATTATCACCCTTAAAAAACACCCAAATGTTTCGCTTATTCTCTTAAAACTACGTAATATAAGGAAAAAAAATTATTTAAAAAATATTAGCAGTTGAAGAATATAGGAAAATAAAGGTTTTAAAGATTTTTAATTAATGACAAAAATGCAGAAAATCGGAAATAATTCGAAATGTTTCAGCAATATCTCAGAAGGAATGAAAGTTTCACCAGATATTTGTCAGAATATAATTTTAGTGATAGCAGTTTAATCAGTCTGCATTGAAATTCCGGTGATAATCAGTGACATACAGATTTAGGTTACTTAGGTTAAAAATGCGTAATAATTTAAAATATAACCGGGTAAATTTTAAAAACCAATTTATTTGAAAACTAGCAGCTTCGCTACGAGCCTTCGCCTGGCTTTTAAATGTACCGGAAAAATGGATGAAGGGAACTCCAAACGTTAAATTTAAAAACTGCGTAGGATTTTACTCTGCAGAACAACTTCATAAAAAAAGTTATTACGTATAACAAAACTACAATGAAATAAGCAATATCTCTTAATACAAATATTAATTATCCTAATAAATAAATTAACCAAATTCCCTTTGCAAAATCTTAAGAATTCAAATGGTATAAAGGAGGTTAAGAACTTTGTTTACTAAAAAAAATCAGTCAAAACTTTTCAGTATCTTAAAAACAGTGAAATGAGCAATAAATAAAATAAAGGAATGCAAAAAACAAAAAATTCTGAAAAGCAAAGTATAACTAATGATATTTTATTTTTTCAAAGGAAAAAAATTACAATGAAACAAGCTATATCTCTTAATACAAATATTAATTATCCTAATTAAAAAATTAACCAAATTTCCGTAGAACAAAAATCATGCAAAACTTTCAATATCTTATAAACAGGGAAAATAAGCAAAAAATAACATGAAAGCAACTCAAAAAAACATAAAATTCCGCGCAGAATTTTACTCCACAGAACAACTTTATCATAAAAAAAAAAATAAATGAATAAATAAATAAAATATATTATATTTATATAAAAATGAAAATGAAATATACCAATCTCTTAAAAACAGTTGACATAAGAAATACGATGAAAATTGTTGCCAAACCCATATTTCTAAAAGAATGAAACTATTCAAAATGATGCGATTTTCATCAAAAATCTATCAACAACAATAAGACAGGAAAATTGTTGCCAAAATCACATTTTAAAGATGTGAGATGTGAGAAGTGTACTCGGAAGCTTCATTTAAAAAATCTTTTAAAAATACAAAATATTATCATTTTTCTAAAATTCTTTTTGTAGAAGCATTCGCAAGGATGAAAGTTTAACGTGTCCAAAAATCAAAGAAAAATAAACTGTACATTTTTAAAAATAAACTTTTTTAGAAAAAATCCCGTTGAAAAAGCCTTAAGCTCCCTTTGTTAAATAAATTCGTATTTAATCGATTTATTGAAACACGAAATTTATTTTAAGTTCGTAAAATAGCTAAGTTCCTACGTTTCATGACGATGTAAAAATGGAGTGTGTAGAGTAAAATCTCGCTTTCCTATAGTCCATTATGTTTCAAAATAACACGATTTCGTCACAAATCGTGTCATTTTGAATTTTTTTATTTCATGTTTTCACAAAACATGAAATAAAAAAAATTCGAATTCGAAAAAATCGCTTCGAAGTGCACTGGCTCTTGTGTAGATGTACCTATGTACCAAATTTCGTAGCCGTGGGTCTATTAGCTTACGCGCAGCGCGAACGAAAGGCACACACACACAGACAGACTCTTTCTTTTATTATATGTAGAGAAGATATGTAGAGATAAGATTGTTTAAGGGAAGGAAACTTTTAAGTTTCGCAGCTGTACCCTGACCCTTAAGACGGTCATCACGGAGAGTCTAGCTTTTTGCAATTCTCTTGAGAGTTCACATCTACCGAAGAATATCTAGTGTAATCAATCTCACTTAGCGGAATCATTGAAGTAAAATTCTGGGAGGGATGGGAAATAACAAAAGAACTGCTTGACAATTTTCAGAGGTTTAGGGTTATTTTCGCGACATTTTACGGGAAGTTCGGTCCAAAACTAGCGACAGTTTTAAAGGGATTCGCAGAAAATCACTCGACAGGCTAAGGGTTAATGAGATATACTAAATCCTATTTGGAAGAAACTGTTACTTTGATAATCTCCTCACTATGCAGCGTATCACATTTAATAATTAAAAAGAGTTATGTGATACAAACGCCATAGGTTTCAGTGTTAAAGCAAACCAGATCGTCCCTACTCTTTCTTGCCGACATGTCGGTGACGCCCGCCCACTGCGTTAGTCTATCTCTTATAAGGTCCATGATATAAAACTAAAATTCAAACAAAATTACATTTAAATATTTAAATTTTAAAATAATTTGGCAATAATTTACTTATTGAGATCTTGTAATGGTGCTTTGACCGAACATGCATAAAATTAAGCGAGATGACGTTGAACGTGATTATGACACACAAGACATGGGTTTCTAGGAATAAATGAACAAATAAATAAAATAAGAACACGGGGCTCGTAAATTAAAGGCGAATTTAACAAAATACTCTACCAAACTTTGGAATTGAAAGCTCACAAATAAATCAAACGTACGATTATTCAGTTGCAATGTTTTGAGAGCATCTTTTTTTTAATAAAGCTCACCCCTGCAGCTGACCGCTTTGCATTTTTTAGATTTCATCTGGGCGACGAATTTCAAAACGGAAACACGTTCGAGGTAGATATACGAAGTGAAGTGATCAAAAAATTAACTTACGGTGGGGAAGTGTGTTTCAAACATTGGTTACTGTTTACTATGTACAGTTTGCCAAGAATTTTAAATAACAGAAGCAACTACTCGAATTTCTTTTTAACTTAAATACATTGTTTTATAACAGCCTGAAAGATATACTCAAATGGCAAGAGACAGGTAAATGTGACAAGTTATTCGTGTATTCTCATCGTCTTGTAAATCTAATGATGTTCTGTGTGTTTTAAAGAGTTAAATGTCGTTCAGATTTAAAAACGTTTTCGCACAGAAACAAATCATTTTCACGTTTATGTTCTTGCTTCAATGGCTATAGAAGCGAATATACAACCTGTAGTCTTTTTTTTCCCCTTGCTACATTATCATAAATGAAAGACTGTTTTCTTGATGCCTTGTCAAATTATATATTTTACCCAGTAAAAAGGATCATAATTACGGTGAATATGATCATATTTGTGGTGAAGAACAAAAATACACTTTGAGATCTCTTCATTTGTTAGTTGAATTACCGAATGGTTTAATCCTAGTATCCGGTGCGCACGGGATTTGGCGACTTTTATGATGAGCAATAAAAACGGGACATATACGATGAGTAGTAAACGGGTATTCAAAGAATATATATAGTTATACATAGTATATACTATGTATAACTATATATATTCTTTATATACATAGTATATTCTATGTCTATTCAGCTAACTCCAAACTATATATATTCACTATATACATAGTATATACTATGCATATAGTGATAGTATATACATAGACGTTCTTTGGGTCATTTTTGGTGTTGGCGATAATTTTCAAAATCGCGTTAAGTCTACACTATATACTAGGATTTTACCAGTTGAATTTTAAACATTTGTATTTAGCATTGCACCTGTTGTATGGAGTGTAGATACCATTTTGCGTGCTTTTGAATTGTGCTTTGTTTAAATGCTGGATATTATGCTTATGATTTTATGTTTATTTTCCATACTTTGCTTTTGTTTGTTTACATATATTATAGTGAATGCACCTGAAATATCAACCGAATTTTTGTAACTTAACATTTATGGAATTCTAATTATTACTGAATTTTTCAGAATTCTCTAAAGTTATGGTATCATTAAATCACAAGCAACCATAATGAGCATGACAAAGTCTGCAGTAATCTATTTGGCTGATCTTTGGAATATGGTAACAGGTAGTTTGGCGACATTTTGGAGGCGATAAAGGTTACTACCTAGGACTTGTAATAATGCAAGAAGCACTCAGTTCCGATTACACATTATTTTGTGTGAGGGAAATGAGAGATCATGAGATATTTCATGTGATGTTAATGGACGAATTACAGTTCTTTAATCGGAAAAGGGATAGATTTGGAAAAATTATTTTGTATTAAGCTTCATTGTGTGTTGTGTGAAATAGTGTTGATTAATTTTCGGATTGCATGGGGCTATGTAAAGTGAATTCTAAATTTTTAATACGTAATAATTAATAATAAGTTGACTACTGGATTTCGGATTTAGAAATTAGCAGTAGTACTGCAGCCGTTTGGAACTCTTTCTGTAGGGAAGTGTGCGTGCCACGTAATGAAGATGCTGAAGAAGATTAGGTAAGTTAGTATTTTTAATCATTTGAGGATATTATTTTTATGCATTGTTCTAAATGTAAGGAGTAAATAAATTAAAATGGTATTATTGGAAAATTGTTATTAGCAATGATTTAGTTTAAAGTAATTAGGATTGTAATCTAATTTTTATTAATTTAATGTATGTGCTTATTTATATTTTGAGTAGTGTTTTTTAATTTAATTATATTTTAATTTAATGATCGTGATTTTGTGAGTTATATGTTTGTAGTATTTTGGAATACGTTTGAGTAGTATAGTTTTGTTACATAAAATTTCGGTTGATCTTTGGATTGTGGTAACTTGGCGATTTTTTGGCGACCAACTCTGCTACAGCAACCCTCTATTTTTTTTCGCCGCCATTTTGTCTGTTTGAAGTAAAGACATGTTTCTTTTCTTTTTATTTACTCAACACTTTTTCCAACAATCTACTAGCCGAATTACACTTATGCTAGAAATTTTATGTAACAAAACTACTTAAGCATGACAAATATTAACTGCAAAATTGGGAAAAAATGCACAATCGCAAACTCTTTGCACATTTTTCAGAATAGCACATACACATAAACCATTTACACGCCGACTTATTTTTACTTAAAAAAAAAACATTCCAGAATTGCACAAAGGTGGCATTGCACACACTCTTAACTTTATCCATCTACACTGCTATTTTCTCATAAATTACAAAAATTTGCACGAAAATGCAGGAAAATTTTGTGAATCTTTAAACTCGGTAAAAAGAACATATATGAAATTACCTGATCGTGAAAAAGTATATACCCTTTCCAAGGATGAACATTTCCACGTATAAAATAAATAAAATATCCAAAAACATTTACCTCTAAAATTATCTATTATATTATAATTATAGTTACTGGGTGAATAGACTTCCAGTTGACTACTGGATTCGGATTTAGAAATTAGCAGTAGTACTGCAGCCAATTGGAACTCTTTCTGTAGGGAAGTGTGCGTGCCACGTAATGAAGATTTAGGTAAGTTAGTATTTTCAAATCATTTTTATGCATTGTTCTAAATGTAAGGAATAAATAAATTAATATGATATTATTGGAAAATTGTTATTAGCAATGATTTAGTTTAAAGTAATTAGGATTGTAATCTAATTTTTATTAATTTAATGTATGTGCTTATTTATATTTTAAGTAGTGTTTTTTAATTTAATTACATTTTAATTTAGTGATCGTGATTTTGTGAGTTATATGTATGATCATGATTTTGTGAGTTATAGTCACCAACGAATTTATACCGCAAACATTAAAAATGGTTACAAATACTTAGTGTCAAATATTTAAATTATTTCCATGCATGTTTACTTCAACTGAAAGGTATACCAAATTGCTACAAACATAAAATTCACAAAATAACTATCATTTAATTAAAATATAAGTAAACCATGTACATGTCGACTTATTTTTACTTAAAAAAAAATCCCAGAATTGCACAAAAATGGCATTGTGCACACTCTTCACTATATCCATGTACACTGCTTTTTTCTCATAAATTAGAAAAATTTCACGAAAATGCATGAAAATACTCAACGTATATTACTCAGGTGTATTCCAAAATACTACAAACATATAACTCACAAAATCACGATCATTAAATAAAAATGTAATTAAATTAAAAAACACTACATAATATAAATAAGCACATACATTAAATTAATAAAAATTAGATTACAATCCTAATTACTTTAAACTAAATCATTGCTAATAACAATTTTCCAATAATATCATATTAATTTATTTATTCCTTACATTTAGAACAATGCATAAAAATAATATCCTCAAATGATTAAAAATACTAACTTACCTAATCTTCTTCAGAATCTTCATTACGTGGCATGCACACTTCCCTACAGAAAGAGTTCTAATTGGCTGCAGTACTACTGCTAATTTCTAAATCCGAATCCAGTAGTCAACTGGAAGTCTATTCACCCAGTAATAAGAAATTAATAAAATTTTACACATACTCAAACTACTTTCAGCAAACCACGTACACTTCCTTACACTCCGTTTCACAAAATGTCCATTTTCACCAGATTTCTTACACCGCCATTCAAACTTATCTGTAATATCCTTCCTTTCACACAATCTCATTTCATTTCCACACTTTGGACATTCATACTTATCCGCAATTAAACCTTCACTGATACACCATTCAACCAATTCTTTTGAATTATCAGATAAATGCATTAAAAATTTAGAATTCACTTTAAATAGCACCATGCAATCCGAAAATTAATCAACACTATTTCACACAACACACAATGAAGCTTAATACAAAATAATATAGTACTACAGATATTTTTCCAAATTTTTACCCCCTTTTCCGATTAAAGAACTGTAATTCGTCCATTAATGTCACATGACATATCTCATGATCTCTCATTTCCCTCACACAAAATAATGCGTAATCGGAACTGAGTACTTCTGACATTATTACCAAAGTCCTAGGTAGTAACCTTTATCGCCTCCAAAATGTCGCCAAACTACCTGTTACCATATTCCAAAGATCAGCCAAAATTTCTAGCATAAGTGTAATTCAGCTAGTAGATTGTTGGTAGAGTAAATAAAAAGAAAAGAAATATGTCTTGTCTTCGTGAAGACAAAATTTCGGCGAAAAAAAAAGTAGAGGGTTGCTGTAGCAGAGTTGGTCGCCAAAAAATCGCCAAGTTACCATAATCCAAAGATCAACCCTATGTTTAAATAGCAAATAAATACCTTAGTTTTTTTTAATTCATCCATGCCCCTAAAAATGGAAAATTAATACCTAAAAGCTACCTTAGCCCATGGTTTTGTTACTATATACATGTAAAAGTTGTTAAAAACTTTCAGTGAATTCCGTATATCGATTTTTTCGGATATAGATCTCAGTTTAAATATAAGTAAGGGATATGGCAGTTAAATTTATTACAGAAGTTAAAATTAAAAATCTGGTTAAAACCTTAATTCGGTTTATGGAATTAAAAATATTTTCCGGATTATAGATCATCAAGTTTTAAATCTTAGATGCAATGCAGAAATTCAGAATTAAAAATATGAAACGTAATTTATTGAAAAGCTTATATTTTGTTTCTTTCAAAGGGTATATTTCTTTGTTTTAGTTTAAGTTGTTTCATTGTGTTTATTGTTCGTTTCAATAAGTTACTTTCTCTTTATTCTTTAATTCTATTAAACAGACATAATTTCTTGTTTAGTTGCAAAGTTCCGCTGTTCAAGTCCTATATTGCTGTGTCGAGAATACCGAATAATTTGTCAATCGAAATTCTTTCGTTTTCAATAACCTCTGTTACTTTCTTCACTATCGGAAGCGAAATGACGAGGAACTTGTTTTAAATCATATCAAAGACGGAGTACATTGAGATGAAATACTACATTTAGTAAGGAATTATAAGCCAAATAAAATAAAAACATCTGCCCTGAAGATAAGGATAGTGCTGACAGACCAACTTCCAATTCATTGTGCGCCGCGGCGTTCCCCTCGCCGAGCAGCGTGAAATTGATAAACAGATTTCGGATTTTGAAACAGA